TTACATTCCAAAGGCTTTGAAATCTTTCAATTTCTATATGTAAATGATATTTGGAATTACCACTGTAAAAATGAATACATACAGTACTATATTTTATATATTTATATATACAATTGGCCAATTGAAAAATCACAGAACTTCAAGAAATAAAAAATAATTTACACGACAGGGTATAAACAATATCCACTGCATATATTTTTCCCACTGCTTACCCTGAAAAGGTGCAGACATACTGTAGGTTTCAGAGATAAAAGTGATCCTTGCCCATTTACTAATGAAGAACAACTAGCTTTGAATCAGTTAGTAGGGGATAGGTCTGAAGTGGTCAGGTTGGTTGCTAGGGAAAGGCTGCTGGGATATAAAAGGGTATATGATAAGGTACTCACCCGTTCTCCCTTTTCACCTTTGGTATTTAAATTGAAAAGATCGTAGCCATTGCCTGTTGGTAGCCTCTAAATTCAGAAAATAAAAAGAGATCAGAAAAGCCTGAAATTATTAGTTTTCATTTTGCTGCCTTTTTGTTTTTGTTTTTTTGCAGACAAAAATGTGGTCACATACCAGTCCACCGTGTGAGTTGCTTTCTCCCTGCAAAAGAAACGTTTTGGTATGATACTCTACCTGTAAGGATATTTATTTAAAGCCGTATTTTCGATATTGTGGACTTTTAAAAAATAGCACTTACCTTTTCTCCTTTTTGGCCCTGAAATTATTAATGCAGAAAATTAGAGATTATTTACTATTTCAATAAAAGGTATACTGTATACTGTATGACTGAATACTGCATTACCTTCATGCACTGTGAAGGGCAAGGTCCTTGTGGTTTGGTCAGGACACCTAGTCCATTACTAGAATCTATAGGTGAAGGGCTGTCAGGTGATCCTTGGGGCATATCTGCATCTAACAGATCAGACTGTAGGAACAGGTTAGCAGGAACATATTAGATTCTTGTGTTGGATCTGGTGGTTTGTTTGCATTACAATAACTTACTGTATTATTACTGTACTGTATGTCACTACAGCACTTACTGTTCAGGGTCTGACTGGAATAAGATGATACTGAATAAAATACCTTTCTTAAAACTGATTGACTGCTGAATAATCTGAGTCTAAATCATCAAAAGCGTGCTGGTTATTCAAATATGGAAATTTAAGCAAAGGCTAAATAAACCAAGAACATAAGGAATCGAGACGTGACAGGCATAGACTTGTCACTGATTATGAGTCATCTCAAGAGCCCAGAAAATGAGCTTTAGAAATACCGAACTGGATGGAATAATCCGTCCATCGCCTTTGTGAAAAAATGTCCTCCCTATTTTTAGTCCAGAAACTGATTTTGCTTTTAAGCCCTAATCTCATTAAGCCTCATACCTCTCTCTGTTGACTTGTTAGTAAGGCTTCACTGCAAAGATTTTCAATAAATTCCCTTTCGATGGAAGGGAAGTCATCGAAGGTCTGAGCAAAAAAAATG